CTCTGTGGCATCAACAAAGTACACAGTACTGCAGCTCTGCAGGGATATGAAATGGGGCTTGGCTGTATTGCTCATGTAGAGCATTTGCAGCTTCATCTGTATGCAAAAGAGTCAACAGCCTCAGATGGCATTTACTTTGAGTTATCCAGGGCGTTGGAGTGGATAGTCCTCCAGGATGAAGATTGAACCCTCGCAGATGGGATAACACAATCAATAGAGGCTTTTCTACAGTAGTTCACGTGGGGGATACCGAACTATGCCCATGTTCATATAGATTTTACATCTGAACACATCTGACATGTAATCTAATGCATAGTATGTTTTATAGTATATGAAATTATTAAGCATAATCACTTTTTGCATGTGTTACAGAGGTATGGATATGATGGGTTTGTCCAGCTTCACCATCACTGCAAGGTGAGTCCCACTTTTTTTGGATTGTACTGCAAACTATGCTGGGGACACAGCAGGTTCCTCCCGGCTGCACCTCACTCGTTGGACCTGACTGCCTGGTCCTCTCCGTATGAGCAGCTGCAGAACTCAGAACGGTGCCTCTGCATCAGCGGAGAGATTCACTTCAACACAGCAGAACACAGAGCAGCATGGCAGCTGTGTAGCCACTGCAACTTTTAGTGGGAGACATTGATTGAGTTTTGGGCATCAGCAAACTGCAGATAAGGGCAAATAGTTGATGCATTCAATCATCAGACTTCAAGTCACACAGGTGTAGTAGCATCCAAGATTAGAGATTTTTTAATTACAGCCTTTAACAGGGGAAAAAAAAGTCTGTCCAGATAGTAATTGGATATCTGCATTTCTAGAACCTTTTCAAAGACAGTCTGTGATGAAATTTTACTTCTAGATGTAAATAAAAGTTTACATCTTGCATGTTTTTCCATGAAACAGCATGTTTCATAGCGAGCTATCTGCTGCCATCATGTGGATGTATTTTGAAATGCTATGAAAGCCAAATGTCACATGATCTCATGAGCTTGAGAATTGTAAATTGAATGAGAGAAATGACCAAGAACAAGAACATTAAATCTGCCAAGGTGTCTGACTCTATAACAGAGAGGCAAGAGACATTTTAATTTCAGTCATACTAATTAAGGATGTGACTATTGTAAATGTTGTGTTTCAGGGGGAAGCAGAGATGATGAAGGATGGGAAGCTGTTCCGAGTGATTCAAGAAAACTGCTGGGATGCAAATGCACGCATAAGAGACATGGATCAACATGGTATATGCACAGACACAAAAAACTACAACAAGTGTTAAGTGTTCCTGATGCCTAAACCGATGTTGCTGTTTATAACCTTCAGGTGTCACAGTTCAAGCCCTTTCTACAGTTCCTGTGATGTTCAGTTACTGGGTAAGTGCACACAAGGTTTGAGCAGCTTGGATAAAAAAAACAATGCAGCCACTATGTTTTATTGCTGTGTGCTTAAGATCTGAAACATCCATTTGTTTACTGTGCCTGAAAATATTGCGAGCTGCACCCACCTAAAAAAAAAAAAGAGCTAATTAAATTTTAGACTTCATGTGCAAAGCCACAGTGGCTTATGTACTTTGCAAAGCTTCTTAAGTGATCTATTGGTTCTCCTGCAGTCACAGAGGCACCGACACTAAGATGAATATATGATTCAAATTGTATTCCAGCTTTCACAGATACAGTATATTTACCTATTTTAATCCCACTTTTGGGTTACAGGCCAAACCTTATGACACGCTGGATCTCTGTGTCCTCTTAAATGACAATCTGGCCCAGACAGTGCATAGTCACCCCAAGAGGTTTGTGGGCTTGGGCACTCTGCCCATGCAAGCCCCTGACTTGGCTGTGGTGGAGATGAGGCGCTGTGTGAAGGAGCTAGGCTTTCCTGGGGTGCAGATTGGCTCACATATCAACAACTGGGACCTCAACGCCTCTGAACTCCATCCTTTCTATGCTGTGAGACATTGAATGTTGCACTAATATACTTCGTGGGAATAGCAAATGTACCTATGTTTACACTTCACTGGTTTGACTAATTTCATTCTGAATTGCAAGACATTCCTTTGTATTCAGAGGTCAACTTCTGATTCATGGAGTACTGATCTGGCTGTTCCTCTTCCTTGCAGGCAGCTGAGGAGCTGGGCTGCTCCATATTTGTCCACCCATGGGAGATGCAGACAGATGGGCGGATGGCTAAGTATTGGCTGCCCTGGCTAGTGGGTGAGGGAGATGGAGTAGAAACAGGAGATATTGAATATCCCCCCAGTCTAGTCAATAAAAACACTTTTCTCTTAAAAATACAATCACTTTGTGACTGAAATTGATCCCTGTTTAATCATCTGTCCATAACAAAGCAACATCATACCCACTACTTCCTAAATGACTGATTAAGCCATCAAAACAAAATCATTGTATTTTCCCATTTGTTAAAATGGTGTTGATTTTCTTCGAGTATTGTAGCTTTCAATTCATATTCAATGCATTGTGGCCAACAGAGCCAAATAATACTCAACTGCAATATTAAGTTTTGTTTTCCTTTCCATCTCGCAGGCATGCCGTCAGAGACAACCATGGCTATTTGTGCGATGATATTTGGAGGTATCTTCGAGAGATTTCCTAAATTGAAAGTCTGCTTTGCACATGGAGGTATAGTATGTTTCAGTGTAATAATGAAAACACTAAGGTGTCAACTTCTATAAAAGTATTCTTACTTCATGCTCAATTAAAGATGCTATGAGCCGCTGTATGATTCTTGTTTGTTCATCTGGTTACAGGTGGCTCTTTTCCATTCACCGTTGGCAGAATTGAACATGGCCACAAAGTCCGCCCTGACCTGTGTGCTGTGGATAACAACATCAGTCCACGGAAATACCTCGGCTCTTTCTACACTGACTCCCTAGTTCATGATCCCACCTCCCTGAAACTGCTCGTTGATGTTATTGGAAAAGTGAGCTTGCATTCATCATTCATTGAGAGCGCATGCGCGCACACACACACACACACACACACACACACACACACACACACACACCCTGCCGCAGAGAGCTCATACACACTTAGGGAGTATTGCCAGTGGAGGGTGTGTGTGTGGGTAGTTTGAACACATCAGTAGTTATTTCTGTAAAAAACATTTTAACCTTGGATACAAAAACTGTGTACACGGGCTTATTAAAGTAGCACGGAGCTGTTCTGATGTGTGGAAGCACTCGGATGCTTCAGAATAACTCAACTGATGATCTATTATATTATTGAGATATTGCGAATGTGTATATCTGAACATGTTCACTACATGTTCAACACTACAAAAGTGAACATGCACGTAATCTTCTTTCAGGATAAAGTGATGTTGGGAACAGATTATCCATTCCCGCTGGGTGAGCTGCAGCCTGGGTCACTGATTGAATCAATGGATGAATTTGATCGAACACTAAAGGTAACAATATTGTTACACTATGTGTTTAGTCTTTGGTAGCATGTCAGAAACCTCAACATTTTGACATAAAGAAATGTGATTCATTCTGCTAGCTTTCAGACTTTAAATTCATAAATTAATTAATTAGTTTTAAAATCTTAATGTACTGTATGTCTAATCCAGTATTCAAAATGGCGTGTACTTTTGTTTTGCAGGATAAATTGCTCGCAGGAAATGCACTGGATTTTTTGGGCCTGAAACAAGAGCAATTTGAGTAACAGGAAAACCTGAGACACAACTGCAACACCCATTGAGTCAGCGCGAAGGAATTATGCAAATATTCATGTTAATGTATGATTCAAATTTGGATTAGTTTGTATTATTATTATACAGTCTATGGATTTAATAAAGTAATTAAGTATTTGTGAATTGTCTAATTTGTGTAAACTCAAACTCAAAGTTGCTATTGATAATGTTCAAGAATGGCACGTGTGATTTTTTTATTGTAATAGTATATCCTTTACAATAAGATGCTATTTATCCAAACTTACAAGGCATCTTATGGTCAACAGAGTTTCTAGTTTGATGTGAACGTATTAATTCACACTGACAGTCAAAGTATAAGAAAGAAAAGAGGACTTTTTTCACTCAGTGTTTTTAGAGAAACATTTGCAGTCAGTCCTACTATTACAAAGGACACATATGCAGGTCACTCCAGTTGTCTTTCTAAATATAGTCCCCAACAGCTCTTTCCTGTTAATGTGATCCCTCAACAATGAAGAGACTCAAATTGCTTAAAAGCTTCACCAATATGTGCTCTACTTCAAAGAACGAGTTATGCAAGGAACCCGATGCTCATTGCTCATAGAGAGGAAGCATTTCTTTTCTACTGAAGAGGAATGGAACACTACAAAAAATAAAGCATAGGTCTTTACCACCTTTAACTGAATACCTCTTTAATACCGTTTAAATTCAATTTATTTCCCCACTTCCCAAATATACACAGGAATAAAATATCTAAACCGAAACAATATTCTGTGAAGGTCCTGTGCTGTATAAGTTGTGTGAACTATGGTGTAGTTAATCATGTATTATTGCGTGTTAATGGGCTATGCCCTCTTTTAATTGGAAATAAGATAAGATACACCTTTATTAATCTCTGGAGGGAAATTTAGATGTCAGCAAAAGAGAATGAAACATGGCGGATGTGCGACAGGACTATTGGTAAGACTGAAAGCAAGATAATAATAACGTAATAACGTAAAATATGAATACAAATATATAACATATATAATAAAAATAAAGCAAACCACAGGGCGGCTGGCCCTTGACACCAACACTGGATCTAGAGTATGTCAATAAATATAATAAATACAATAAATAAAGTCTATTAAACAACCTAAACTAAACGCAGCGTCTTGTAAAATATGAATAAATGAATAAAAACTAATGAAAGGTAAATCCATGTTTCAAATATAAAAAATAATATATATATATATATATTTTATATAAATATTGTAAATATCAAACACAACCAATCACAGCGCACCAACGAAGAAGAGGTGTTTTCCTGCGCGACACCGACGTCACGTCCGCTTTCTCGCTGCCCAGACGTTGGAGAGCAATGGCGGCGTGCCGGGGATCTTCGTCGAAATGGTTTTTCACCCGGGAGCAGCTCGAAAGCACGCCGTCCCACCGATGTGGAGTAGAGCCAGACCGAGAGCTCTCCTACCGGCAACAAGCGGCGAATCTGATCCAAGACATGGGCCAGAGACTCAACGTGTATCCTTTGTAAACAAACTAGAACCGTGAACCGGGCTAATGGCGCTAACGCTGCCCGACGGAGCGGGCCCCGTTACCGCCAGCTCCTTCTGAAACTCACTGCTCGGGCTGGGGACAGGGCGGGAGAAAAAGTGCTGCTTTTCAAAACGTTGTGTTTTTTTTTTTTTATTCGTCGAAATACTATTAAAACTATCGAAATCTTAACCTGGAAATCGCCGAATCATAGTTTCATCTTCCGCCATGCGCTAAAGGAGCTAGCCGTCCAAAAAGGCCATTTATAGGCGAGTTTGCAGCTGTCGATAGCTCCTCGTCCTCTAACATAAAAGGGATTCAACCCTCTCTGGTTAGAGAGAGAGACCACCTTTTACACATTTCAGTCAGTTTGCAGAGAGTTGCTCAGTGCTACTACTTCTGCGGGATGGTGTCTGTGTTTGGTAGTGGCGTAGCTGAAGCTCTGGTGTGATATTAACGCAAAGTGAAATGTTAAAAATGTTCCTTGACCCACCCTCCAGCTCTCAATTAACAATAAATACAGCCATCGTTTACATGCATAGATTTTATATGCACCACTCCTTCACCAAATTCCACAGGAATGTAAGTATCCCGTTGCATTGTACTGGTGTTGGACATGAAAGCTTGTGATCTGTAATGTGAGGGAAGTGTTGGTAAGGGTTTGTATTAAAATGTCTCGATGCTCTTGTGCAGATAATATCTCCAACCACCTTATTCTTGGCCGCTAAAGTGGAAGAGCAACCTCGGAAACTCGAACATGTGATCAAGGTTGCGCATGCTTGCCTAAATCCCCAAGAACCACCTCTAGACACAAAAAGCAATGTAAGTTCAGAAAGCCCTGCATATTTTAATGGTTGACATTTTTCTTTTTCCTGCTCTACGTCTTGAGTTTCCAGTTCTCTCAGTGGTCCTGGTCTTCTGTGCCAAATTGAAAGGGACTGTTACACCCAACAAGGCTTTTATGAATAGTAAAATTAGCCTAATTGTTTGGAGTTTTGGCCATTTGAAATTGTTAGGGGGGACAGATTTATAGACTCATTACATTTGTGTTGTAATGACTGTCTATCAAACTTCAGGCATACCTCCAGCAAGCTCAAGAGCTGGTGATACTTGAATCCATAGTGCTGCAGACCCTGGGTAAGTAGTGGTGACTGGAATGGATGACTTGAGAGAGAGAGAGATAGCGTTTTGTTCATCATAGTCATTATCTTTGGCTTATCGTTATCACTGTGGGAGTAATGCTATTGGTCACTGTTTAATTTATTCATCACAGCCTGTTGAGTACAATGTTTTATCAGCTGCTGTATTGGTATCTTGTCATGTGCATATTTTCAATGAATCATGTAAAGGTGACATGTCATTCTATCATTGCCGACATTAATCACGGAACATGGTATTGACAAGACTTTTAAGTTGTATCTGATTTCTCTGCTGTGCAACATTTTATGGCTACAATTTGTGATTACTTATTGATTACATTCAATACCGAGGAATGTGTGCTGTCCAAGTAAGTGAATGTGGTCAGAGCCGATTTGGTTGCACTTAATTTGTTCCATGTAAATATGAATTGACCATCAAGTTCCACTAATCATATTGAATACATAGATACCATACTACAATCTGAACTGCCTTAAAATGGAGCGCTAGATGTGTTTGTTTAATCGTAAAATGACATGTCACCTCCCAACTGTGTCTGTGTTGATCTCACCTGTCATGTATTTTGTTCCAGGCTTTGAAATTACTATTGATCACCCACACACTGATGTGGTGAAATGTTCCCAGCTAGTGCGAGGTAGAGGCTTCCTTCTTTGCTCTTTGTGCCCTCTACTCTTGTTTGTCCCACCTCAGATGTGGGTGGGGAGGGGGGTGAAAACCTTGCTGATTTTAATGGATACATGACCCACACACCTTGCTCTTTTGATGACCTGAGTTTATTGTATGGCATAGCACTTAAACAACATCATTTACTGAAACTTATTAAGCCAAGTCCAAGACTGAATTTTAATTGTTTTCCCTTTGGCCGTTTGCCATTTCATTCTGTTTTGACAGTGTCAAATCAGTGGACGTGGATGGCATTGGCATTGTGTATCTCGTGTGATCACAGAACTAGAACTGGGAGGAAACACACTTGTCTTTTAACCTACACATTAACAATGGCTCTGCTCTATTCAAGTGTGACAGTGAGCCAGCTGGTACAATAACAGGTGCACAAAAGTAAATGAAATTCAGCCGTTTTATTATACACAGGTCATATGTTTGAAGGCAGTGCTTCAGTGATTAAGAAGAGTCAATTTTGGATATGGATATATATCAGAATATTGTATAAATTTACACAAAACCCATGTTTAAATTTAATTTGATTGATGTGCAGTGCAGTTAACTTTGTTTCATTGTTAAACAAAGCCTTCAGTTGTGTTTTAATTTGGTTGGAATTATTAGTTTTGCCAAACTGAGTATTTGTAAAATTACAGCATAATGTGATCATGGTACAGTAATGCTTTAAGTACATATTGAATTATCTCTATAATTAGCTCTATTTTCAGGCTTAATATGTAATAATCACAGAGCTTAATGGAAGTTTCCAAAATGAACAGTGAGTGTTGTTTTCAGTCTTGGCCTTGGCTTAATCAGTGCATTAAAAATAATCTAAAAATAGATAAATATCCAGCTCCGGGCCTAATGATAATAAAATCCTTTTGCTCTTGCAGAAATGGTAATCCCCTTTCCCCTTCCCTGTTTTCTCTTTTCTGTCTCTCTTACAGCAAGCAAGGATCTGGCACAGACTTCCTATTTCATGGCTACCAACAGGTTGTTATCCTGCCCCTCCTTTGTTGCACTTTGACTGCACACCATAGCTTCCTGTAATGCAGGGTACCCTATCAGTGTCCAACGGGCCCTACTTGCGCTGGTGGTTGTTGGGATGCTTGCCTCCTCCCCTCAGCTCCCCTCCCTTGTTCAAAGGGAGCGGGACAGGGTGGCTTGTAGCGTTACCGGCCCCAGTCGCAGTGCGGTGTATTGTACAAGGGACCATGTGTTGGCACAGATGGGTTGAATGCAAGATGTGAAGTGTAGTGGTGCGCTTGAAACCCACATGTTTGTTCGGTTGCGAAAAAGTGCATAAGTCTAAAAGAAAGACACTTTGGTAGCCTGAATAGCAGCTAAAGATTTCACAGATGTAAACATTTCTCGTAGAGGTCCTTCCGGTAAGTACCGCAAATTCATTTTTATAATGTTCTTTTTCATATCCATTTGTTCAAAATGCATTATCTCAAATATTTTTCATCTTTTACAATATTTGCTTGTCTGAAATATATAGATTTTTTTTTCTCGCTCTTCTACAACATTCTTTCATACATGTAGCTCATGTAAAAGATGTGACTAGAGAAAAAACTTAATTGCGACCCATTAAGGACCTGCACAATATGTAATATATGTATGAGCGCATCTCATACTGATCTGAATGCATTTGGTGATTATGATTTATTCTAAAATCTTCTTCTAGACATGTCTAGTAATACGAAAACTGGGTCCTTAAAGGGTTTCTTAATAGTAGACGGTGGTAAAAGAGGAATTCGTATTAATTTAATTGTCTTCAGTAACTTAAAACCAGTTAATGTCTGGAGGCTGACTGTGAGCGCCAATGAATGTTCTTAAAATAGCTCAATACTCTTTAGTTTAATTTTGTAAACAGGACATGTTCCTAATTGATTTTAGACACATACGTCCATCTGAGCTGGTTTTGAAATGTTGCCATTAGCCAAATGCTTGTAAGTGTTGGCTGTGACTGATAGCGTTGTTCAATGCCGCCGTAATCTTGCAGACCAGACTCCAGACATTGCTCTTGTCTTGTGCTCACGGTACAAGTTTACCATCCAGCTCTGACCAAATGTGTTTTAAAATGCAGCAGTACGAAGTTACGGCCAGTTCGTTTTATGTTGAGACATATTGTTAGAAAAGTGGTGTTGATTTACTAACTTTTATGCATTGACATCACAATTGTATATTCTTGGTTCATAGGTCTAGTTAAATGGTTGTGGGGAACCAGTTTCCATCCTAAAAAACAAGCATGGTGCTTATGTGCTGTTAATTATTCTTTGGGACTCATCATAGGTGAACTTGACAGCAAATAATCAGCCTTTGGTGTTTTTAGTGGCAGTTTGTGTCTATATTTTAGCTTTAAGTATTTGGATGGTGGGCATTTGTCTATTTTTATGTATTGCTTTTGATGTTATCTGAATATGTTGTGCTGTATAATTGTGATATAACCTTGCATTACTCTTCACTCCTGCAATCCACTGTAGAACAATGTTACACTTTATGAAATGGTTTTATCCTTGAGTCACAGGCGTTTGTTGTATTAGATTTAATTTAGGAAGGTTCTCAGTATTGAGACCATGCGTACACTTCAGGGCTCACTAGGTTTATCCCTTTCAGCACAGTCCAAGAAAGAGAATCGAGTACAATGATGCAACGGTCACATGGGTTCAGTGTTTCACAATTGGCAGGCTACACGTGGCCCCCTCCCCACCTCTTTCATTTTTGTTATGATGTCCCAGCTTTTACACCAGCCTTGAAACATGAATCATTGTTACATAACACAATTCAATGGTTACTTTAAAGAACACAGGGAATTATATTCTTACATTAAGTCACATGAATCATAAAGTTATTAGCAATGTCATCTGTATTGTGACCCGAGTTTGAAAATAAGAAGCTCATAGATTATCAGACCGATCAATGTATCAGCACAATCATATAATAACTTATCTTTTGCCTAAATTAAAGCGGTCTGCTCCCTCTTGTTTTTTTCTCTTTCTCTTCTCCCACATGTGGAACCGATCGTGACGAACGCCTTGCCTGAATCAACTTACTCACATACCTACAAACACCTCACATATGTAAAATATTCACTCTTTCTTACACACACTTGCACATGCCTTCACACACTACGCAGTCTACACCTCACTACCTTCTGCCTCCAGTACAAGCCCACAGTGATCGCTTGTGTGTGCATCCACCTGGCATGCAAGTGGTCCAACTGGGAGATCCCAGTGTCCACTGACGGAAAACACTGGTGGGAGTACGTCGACAACTCTGTCACTCTCGAGCTGCTTGATGGTGAGAATAAATTTGTGTGTTTCCATAATTGATTACAGTGAATTCATTTACAGTTTCCTTGATATCTATTCAGTGAGGTTTTCTATATGCTCTGTTTTGTAACCATGTTTATTTGGGGTCATAGAATTCACATTTTTTATTTTAGAAAAGAGGTTGCATTGTGTTATTTTAGCAACAGAATTTGAGGCTTTTTGATAACAATATTCATGTCTTGTTTTTATAGAGTTGACCCACGAGTTTCTGCAGATTCTGGAGAAGACGCCCAGCCGATTAAAAAGGATACGCAATTGGAGGGTAGGATACGGTGCTGTCTTGAGGCGTGTCGTTTTTATTTTGATTAGCGCAAGATGTATTAAAGTAGATTGTCTCAACAAAGCACTGTCATATTTAAACCAGCAGGAAGCTTAAGTGGGTAGTACTAGAACTATAGACTTAGATCCCAGTTTGGCAAACAACCACATGGCAATATTGGTGGTGTTAAAATCACAAATATTAACAGAAATCCTGCTACACTCTACTAAACTCAAGTTCTAAACGGCATCATAAATCTTTCTACCCTTTAGGCAACACAAGCTGCCAAAAAGCCAAAGACTGAGAACAGTCAGTTGACGGACAACTCCTTTGCTGGGCCTTCCATGCTCCAAGATCAAGGCGACGCCTCCCTCTCTGGACTCTCATCCTCCAACCCAAGTTTTTCCAAAGCAGGCGCCTCCTTCACTGCATCCCTGTCACTGGACAGCTTGGCTGGCACATACAATCCAGCTAGCCACAGTGAGTGGCCCCAGGGCAACCAGGGCCTAACAGGCTACCCTTCCGCCTGTATAAAACAGGAACCACTCAGCATCCCCCTCCAAGAGCCCACACTGTCCTTGCAGACCTCCACTTTGCTTCAGCATGCGCCAGTATACAGGACTGACAAAACAGGCTTCAGCCCTATCAAACAGGAACAAAAAGGAACTGCTGTGAGCGGGGTTGGCAAGCATCAGCCACCACCTCAGTCTGCTTACCTTCCACCAGCTCAGCCTCCTGCACCACAACCTACTCCAGCTCAGAAGCTATCTCTGGACAAATACAGAGAGAAACATGCTGCAGAGCTGGCTGTCTCTGGCCAGAAACGTAGTCAGGGACAGCACGGAGGAGTAATGGATTGCGATGTAAGGGGGGATATGTCGTCTTCCTCCTCTTCTACCTATGCACCATCCTTTACGAGCCAAGTAGACCATAGAAAACATTCACAGCCCCACCAAACCACTGCCTCCCCAATGAAAATTAAAGTTCCTTCCTCCTCAGCTTCAGGGCAAGATAGACGTCATCACAGTGACAAACGGGACAAAGGCTCACTTAAACTCCGCCTGGCTGTTCCTGGGTCTGGTGGAAGCTCCCAGTTGGATAAAAGTGGACAATCAAGCAAAGATGAGCTTAAGATGAAGATAAAAGTTTCTTCATCAGATCGCCACAGCTCATCAGATGACAACAACAACAAGAGTAAACATTCCAGCCCTCTTGTCAGCAAGGAGAAGCAACATCGTGGAGCAGACCACAACCTCCATCGCCACCACAAGCACAGTCACCCTCACGCACACAGCGGGAATGGACGAGGAGGCCCAGAGGGCCCAGGAGGCCTGCTACGGGGTCCTCCAGGACTGGTCAGCATGGATGGGACTGCGCTCGCTCCTCCTGGATCCACCTCTTTGTCTTCATCCTCGTCGCGCAAGAGGGTGTACCCCGAGGCCAGCCACAACCACCACCCTTCCTCCTCATTCTCCACTTCTTGCTCGAAAGTGAGCAAAATCTCCAAGGGTGGCACTGGTGCTGCAGGTACTACATCTTTTTCTTTCCCCTTTTTTCCTCCTTGCTCCTCTCCTGTACTGCAGTGTGTCTCGTCTGGCTTGCAGCTCTAAGGCTAACCTCCCCCCTCCCCCCTCCTCCTCCTTATTCTTGTTTCTCCTCCTCCCCTCCTGTCACACCCAGGTGGGCTGCGGACCTCTCAGCAGTACCCTCCTCCTAGTGAATCGCCACATGAAGTGGGAGAGCAGAGACACTGAGTCCACCACTCTGCAGCCATGGTCTGCACATGGAAATGACAACAAACTACCGACAGACTTTGAAGACTATGCTCACCTCCCTGTTAAGTGCCCTAGGAAAATAACTTTGTGATGATAAACCCTTTACTGAAAGGCAGAAAAATGTATCTGCAAAAAAATGAAAAGTATTGTTGGACTTCTCAGTTTCTGAGAGACAAAAAGATGAAAAATTATGCTTCCTGACTGTCAGATCTCTGGGTTTTGATGCTCAGTCCCGTCTTCTGTTAGTGTTTAATTGCTGCTTGGTTCTCCTCCCTCCTCAAATGAGTCTAGGAATGTGCGAAGGTGGGTGTGGGTGTTTTCATGAGGTGGTGCTCCTTATATTTCAGATCTCCATATGGGAAAAAAAGTATTAGTAAGTACTATAAAGGCATGGAAGGTGCACTTTCTTCTCTTCCTTTTTTTTTTTTTTTTTAATGAGCAATTTAATTGAATCACATTTCTGCGGTTGTATGGAGGAAGCCAGTGGCCAGCTGGAGATGAGTTAAAGTTATGTTTGCTGGCATTCCATTTAGTACTGTTGATGGATGCATATTTTTTTTTTTAGGTGTAAAGTTTCATCTCCTCAATTACTTTCTTGTCTTGATTTCTTTTTATACTTAAGTACTGTGCGTATAATTTGCATGTTTCAATCATCAAAGGGATTTCAAAGGAGAACGCGTACTTGCTGTTTACAGAAAGTGGAGATAAATGTACATACGTTTTTGTATGTTAGAAGAAAAAAAAGCTATACCATGACTACTCAGGTTTGGAGCTGCTTGTAAGTATAACAAGATAACTATAATACCTATAAAAGACTTATTTTGTTGATCATGGATTGGGCATCATTGGGTGAATGATTGCTGCATTCCAGTGGTGTGTGCTTCTTACAGCCTTCCTAAAGAGGGTGCTGTACTGTGCTTTTCCATCACAGGAAACATCAGTTGATGCCCTTGGTAACACTGGCACATCCAACACCTACTTATCACATCAGAGCGATGCAATTTTTACCAAAAATTATCTTTTTTGGACCTCCAAGTAGACCTTAAGCTGGATGCCAAAGGTTGTGCCTCAAAAAGAAGAAAAACTGACAAAGATAGTCGTAGTGTGCTATTAAAGTTTACATAACTCTTTTTACTTTGAAGTGCATCAGACATAATTTCATGACATGAAGCTGTAGCCCTTAGATGTCAGCTCATAAAGGGAGTACATATTACAAGTATTATTGAATCAACCACACAAAAAACAACTTTTGGCTCCGTTACATCCCAGAAACACTTGTCAGAACAGTGACCAACTGGCCATATGCAACATGACCTGCTGGATAACGCCAGTATCATTCTGCGATGTGGACGTCCCTAATGAGTTTTGTCACTGATGTCCATCAAATTGGTTGAATTTACATTTGCAGCCATGTACCTGTCCAGGCACATCTTTACATTAGTTTCCTACATTAAACTCTATATTGTTCTCAAATCCCCTCTGTTCTTGACTTGGTTACTTGTTTATTTTTAAATTACACATTAAGACTGAAGCTGGATGGTTGGTAACCTCATTAGTTATTTAGATTTGTGGGCACAGAACAAAAGCTGTTGTGGACAAGTGAGCGTAAGCCACTCCTTACAATCTTTTTTTATTTTCATTTCAATATTGCAAATAAACTTTAAAGTTGCCACTACCCTGACACTTTATAAACTGGTTGTTGCCGTCATTGTATTATGCATATATACATGTTACTAAGTATAAAGAAATTACTAATTTGAATATGAGGAGACAGGCTTGTGCAGTAGCTTATATTGATGCAAAGTTCAGTGGCATGTCTCTTCAACCATGATTTTACACACTGATTCCTCAATAACTCATCAGAGGAAAGCTAACAGCACCGACAAATGTAGGTTATAAAAATGAGCTTATAATCTATGTTAAAATGTGATGGTGCTGCAATATGTATTAGGCACATTTTTATCAAAACTAAAACGTCACACAGCACAAACACCTGGAGTTACACTGTACACATAAATTTAAGATGTGAATAAGATTGGCACATTTATAAAATTGCTATAGGAAATACCCAAAGTCAGTAACAAAAATCTGGCATCTATCTCTTCACATTTTATAGGTTCTATTAATGTACCAAATGTAACAAGTGAAATGTATAAAAGTGCTTCTCACAGTTCCTTTCTTCAGTTTCTTCTTGGTGATAGTCTGGGACATAAGCCTACTGCCCCATGTTCCCAAACACACTACTGATGCATCCCTGGGGGAAAGGTGGCAGGCCCTTAAAGGGTCACAAAATATACTTGAATATGAATCACCAATCTGAATTAAATCATTTAATGTCCCATTGAACTAAAAAATATTCTGTTTTGTGTAACTCCTTGTTAACCACACAGTCCCTCTGGGTGACCACAGCAGTTCTTTTTCTGTGTTTCCTAAGAGTTCACTCCGGTCTCATTTTGGGATAGGATGAACGAATGCTTCAGCAGCTGGTCTGCAGATGGCCGTAGTCTCTGGTCACTGAAAATGAATGAAAATAAGGGAACTTTTTCCAAAACATGTCTATAAATAGAAAAGCATGCACTGAATTAGGTCAACAGGTCTCACCTTGTCAAGCAGATTTTCACAAAATCCTTGGCGTTATCCGAAAATACATCTGGTAAAGAGGGCATCAACCCTCTTCGTGCCCCAATGTAGAACAGGGCAGCCATCTTGTCCATGTGTGCCAGTGGTGGTTTTCCTGTGGCCATCTCAAACACTGTGCAACCCACACTCCATATATCTGACTTCCTGCCATATCCTGTCTCATTGATAACCTAAGGAGAGGAAAAGATGCTAAGAGTCAGACAAGATTAAATTATAAGGCCAACTGACTAATGAAATCAATAGAATCTATATCTACCTCTGGTGCCATCCAGTATGGCGTGCCATGGACAGACTTGAGCAGATCTCCACTGTTGCTAGAAGTGTGGTTCAGGCAGCTGAGGCGGCGTGCACAACCAAAGTCTATGAGCTTGATAACGCCAGTGGGCATCAGCATGACGTTGTTTCCCTTCAAGTCACGGTGTATCACCCTGTTCAGGTGAAGGTAGTCCACCCCTTCCAAGATCTGCTGGGTGTACAGAGCCAACACACGCTCTGGTAAAGGACCAAACCTGAGGCATTAAAAGGCACAATGTGTGTTAAAGGTTAGTAAAGACCATTTATTGACCCTGCTCTGATCTTTTGTCACAAATGAGGCAATCATAAAGCTGAATGTTTCAACAGATATTTGGTAAGTTATCAAGCAGTTTTGAATCAACCTAACCTGTGCAGGATGCTAGCGATGGATCCTCCAGGGATGTATTCCATGAAGATGGAAACCATATGCTGATAAAGTGAGGTCCCCAGGAAGCCCACAATGTTGCTGTGTCTAAGGGTTTTAAGCAGCTCCACCTCCCCCTGCAGGCGACTGTATTCCTTCTTTGCAGCGTCAGGGTCAGAGGTATCCAGGGTCACCTGTTTCACCGCTATCAGCTGGCCCTGACTTGTCAGGCCACAGTACACCTGGTGAGAAGGCAGCAGTGATTTCCAGGGTTTGTTGAGCATCAATATCTGCTACTATATGCATAATGATTTGGTGTAAAACTGATATAGAGTGCATTGCTGTATGACTAGATGACCATGAAAGCTTCAAACAACTGTAATCTGTGTTATTAGCTTTACTGTGTTATTCTAAATGAGTATACTTACTGTCCCATAGGCTCCCCTGCCGAGTACTTCCCCCTTTGTCCATGTGATGGTGTCATCTACAACCAACCCAGAGCCAAGCAAAGCAGCACTGTATGTTGAACCAACCTACGATAAAATACAACAAAATAAACAACTAGGTCTTTGACGCTTTAGTGGATCAGGATAATCTGGTTTCCCAGGTTTAAGGTGTTGAATTAGTTTATTAAAAATGTTAAATTGATTTTTAATAGATTAGTAGGCTACATTTGAACGTCATAACATTCTTTGCAAGAGATTGTAAGAAAATTGTGCCATAACCATATGTTTCCAGGCCCTCGCCAGGGTTATCTTGACTTGGAGAAACACCTGTTCCACTACATGCCAAAATAATATAACAGTGTTAAACTGGTACCGCTTGTTTCATCATGTAGACCTTAACCAACCATTGGCTCTAGATAGGGCCTTCACATTTTTTGTTAGTTTCATGGCCAACATAGCTTCTCCTACAAGTTTGGAAGGCTGAGCTTTATTCAAATGGTTGCAATTTGCAACTTCACCACTAGATGCCACTGAATCCTACACACTGGTCCTTTAAAGGGGCTTCTAATGTACATGTCCCTGTACACATCAACAAAACCCTGAACAATTCACTGTGCATGTGGAAAAGTGCACTTTACTGTTTTGTTTGTTTTGTAACTATTAACTATATTTCAAAGGAAGGCTGAAATATAATATATAATATAAAGTGTCAATTTAGTAGTTTAGTTATTAAAAGAACATAATTGAATGAGTGGAGATAGTATTTGAATATGCACTGTTCCAAATCACTCCTAATCATGGCCATATTAAATTGTTATAATGACAATAGTTTACCTCAGGAAATGTATTTCTTCCTGTTACCGGATTGTATTCTCTGTTGTAATCCTCTTTGCTTGGTTCCAGGTTCTCAGGACAGGGGCCTATGGATACATCCCTCTCGTCCAGTGAGATCAGCTCCTCAGCCAGACATTGCAGCAGGTCATCTGTAAGTGGCCCTTCCCCCACCTCATCCAGAAACCTCTGGTAAACTGGTGACATAATGGTTTGGCTTCTGCTGCTAGAAGACGTCCAAGTGTTGATCTTTGGCTGTTGGGGGCTTTGAGATAACGCAGACTCAGGAACCGGTCGGTTTGGGTTTCCTATTGATGAATTGTCATTTTTTTGTGTGTGACTGTAGTCTTCAAGATGAGATGAAGTTGCTGCCTTAGTCAGTGTTTTGTTATCAGATTTTAATGTTTCAGACCCGTATCTAGACAGAGCCTCCTCTATGATAGATAACAAATGATCATCAGTCTTTTCATGAGCACTTGTACGATTAGTGTCAACATCATTGGAGAGAACTAACTCAGTCTCTTTGTGCGAGTCCACATCCTTAATTTTGTGTGGGCCCTTCTTTGATACAGGTGTGAGGTTATGTTTCACCCTAGAGGATGCAAGTCTTGGTTTGCTTTTAGCTGAAACCACCATTCTCTCCCCTGGACTTCTCCTCAGCTTACTCTGTGCTTGTTTCAATGGTCTGTGTTTGACTTTAGCTGACTGCACTTGTCTGTCCTTCACTTTCTCACAAGAGCTGGAAACTCGGAGGTTATCGAAGATAGGACCAGCAAACATCTCATAGATGGCTGGTCCTTCCTCCCCACTCTGTATCTGCTGAAACATGTCTTTGTAAGTGATGAAGTCCACAGCAGATTTAGACCTTGGTGTCCCTGTAAGACCGGGTCTCTTCAACTGCCGGGTGCTCTTCAGCTCCCTTGCCGGTGAGTGCTGTTGAACACTGTTGCTGCTCAACTTGTCAGGATTTGCTCTTTTGCTTTGTGCATGATCGCTCACCTTCTTTCGTGGAGATGGGGTGCCAGTGTTGCAATGAGCACTTTTAACAGATTTAAGCTTTGGTTTTACTTTTGTGACTGTCTCTCCACTAATTACTAGCTCAGGGTTTTTCCTGGTTTTATCTTTAACTTGTGTGGAAAGTGAGGAGTACTTCAGATTGCTTTTGGACTTGTTCCGATTTAGGATGCTTCTGTCTTTGTGCGCTAGCAAGGACTGCTGGTTCGTTTGAATAGTCATACAAATGCTGGTTCGTCTCTCCTTGCTCCGGATAGGCTTTAACACTTTCAACACCTTCTCGTCTCTCTCCTTCATGTCTGACTGGGGACGGTTTACAGCTGAAGTAAATAACTCAGTTCTCTTCTCAGCAGTACTAGTATTTAACTTTATATCCTTTCTATGAGGGACTGGGTTATCTACCCGGGTTTCTTCATACCAGGAATCCTTCATTGTTCTTTCTGTCTGTTTTATATGCTGCAGGTAATGTCTGTAATTTCCTTCAGAGGATTCAATAGCATCACACAGGTAATTATTCATATTAAATGTCCCTTGGCTAACCCCGTTTTCAGGCTCTGTGCTTTCGCCCACATTATTCTTTTCCTCCTTAGACTTTGATGTGATAGGTATTTCATTGTCCACTTTGTCTTTAGTAGGATTCGAACCGTCTCCTTGTTGTGCATCATTACATTTCATAAAGGACTGACTGTCAACAGGCTCTTTTGTGGTGCCTTTGACTTCACAGTGAGAGTTTATAGCTTTTTCAGTGATGAGAAGGTCACTTGTGTGATTGATAGGCTCTCCATCCAGGTTATTTGCTGATTTATGGATCGGTGGAATGTGACTGATCCTCGACTGAACATTAAAATGCCGCCTTGTCTCCCCAACCAAATCAGCCTCGGTGGAGCTCACATCATTTGAATGCTGTAACAACCTGTCTCCAACAAACTTCAAATGGTTTTCTCCTGTGGCTCTCTCATGCATATCCCTCTCGTCTTCCTCCTCCTCATCCTCCAAATCAATGGAACTCTGGCTGCTGCTGGATCCACTCTCCTCACTGCCACCCTTAGTGGTCAGAGGGCCAGTGTGTGGGCTGCCCCGGGACAGCCTCTCTCTCCTCAGCCGGGTCCTGGAGCAAAGGGGGCTACCACTAATGGGCTTCAGGGGAACGTGGTGCTTTAGTACTGGCAGAGCCCCAATGTCCCTGGGCCTGCTGTCTATTGGTGCCAACAGCTTGGGTGTTCTGGGATGCAAGAGACCCTGCGAGAGCTGCAGAGAACAAGAACATTGACAGTAATGCAATGTTTATGAGTGAGGTAGCAAAACTATTATATGAATGAAAAGGAAAGGGAATATAATTATAGATATACAAATAGGTAAAGCTGATACAAGAAGGATCACCTTTTGTTCATTTCCAGTGTCTTGAGAACCCAGTCCTACAGACAGGAAGAGATCATACGTTTAAAACAACATGGACAAGTATCAACAGCAAATAAAAATACTTGCCTGATACCTGGCCTGATTTTAAATACATTAAACCACAATTCAAAATTCATACAATCAATCTCAATATAGGTATTTATATATTATATACAACAGTTTCCTTTTTATAATATTTATAACATGTACGATGGAAATTAAATTCCTCCTCTGATCTAAAAATTACTCTGAGGCTTAGACACTTGAGTTGAACATTTACATACGGGTCTGGATGTGTGCCCTGGCCTGGATCATAGTGTTTGAACACAGTTGTGGTTCCATGATGCTGGGGGCTGATTGGCTGAGCTGGCTGGATTCAGCCACAGACAGCAGGCCGGGGGAGGATGGGGAGGCAACAACCACACTTCTTGTTCTCTGTCTGTGAAGGACAAATAAAAATCAGATTTTTAAAGATTTTGTGTGAGTGCTACAGATGTATTGTGTTTTCTGAATACAATAAAGTGTAATTATCATGATATGGAACGGCAGTAGGATTTCCACTGCTCCCTAGCAATAAATGCATATAATATAGCTGTTTTTAAACATTGTTGATCAAATATTAATAGCTCAGTAATTCCTTTTGATTAATAATTACTTTTGACTTTATTACTTGTGTCTCATTCTCGCCACAATAAGAGAATAGGAGACGTGGGGTTTGGTTACACTTTTACTCCCTCTGCACACCTTTTTCAAGCCAAAGAAAAAGGTGTGCAGAGGGAGTAAAAGTGTAACCAAACCCTAAACCTTTGAACTTGAAATCTTGGTTCAGATCCACAATATGTGGTTTACAGTCACTCAGACATCTTTGTTTTCCTTTTATTTGATAAGAAAGAATTAAGGAGTGCTGTGACAGTAAAGTCAGATTCTTCTTTGTTTCACCAGTCAAAAGAGACTGACACATTTTTCACCCTCTTTATATGGCATAGTGACAAGCAGGGTAACGATGAGTCCAGCTACATTACGTACCTGTGTCTGGGGGGCACAGGCAGACAGGAGGTCCTGGTACTCAGCAAACCAGATGATGGAGCAGGATCCAGGTGGCTCCAGCGCCTATGGTTGTCGCTAAGACTCGGCAGAAACAAACCTCCCCTGAAAAGTAACACAGAAACACGGTTAATTTTTCCCTTGACTAGAAAAGTGTATGTATGGGCTTCCCAACTGAGAAATTCTCATTAACAATACTACAATAAGAATTACAAATGCTGATGCGTTTTATTGCCCTGTGCTGAAGTGAACATAATGTCAAAAGCCTCATTTTCCTCCCATCTCTCTCTATTACTGGAAGCTGATGCTATGAAATTAGAGACCTGCTACAAAGACCTTTATTCTCCTTGGAGAGTTTGGACTTGATTCAGTGGTGAGAGCTCTATGTAAGAGACAATGGGCTGATTCACCAAAGCCCTCTCTCCCCCTGTTTCTGTGTTTCTAACCTGTTTGGGTAGAACAGGTTGTCCTCTGGACACAGTGACAGGTGCCTGCATACAGGACAAGAGTGTAACCGGATAGGCTGCTTGTCTACTGTTGATGTAGAAGTAAAGGGCAGTTGACGAGCCCGGGGAGAGTGTGCTGTCTATGCAAGTGATTGTGTGTTGGGGGGGATGGAGAGTTAACTGTACGCACATAACATGTTTGTGTGTGCACAACTGTTTGTGGTTACGTATGAACAGATGTTGATGTGGTCATGTGTCAATACTATCAGCTTAGTGCCATCAGTTGTAAATTAGGGCTTCTTTATACCTTAAGAAAAAGTGCATATGAGAATGTGTGTGTGTGTGTGTGTGTGTGTGTGTGTGTGTGTGTGTGTGTGTGTGTGTGTGTGTGTGTGTGTGTGTGTGTGTGTTTGTAAAGGTTTGTGAGATTTCACTCTTCCCACCTGCTTCCCCTCCCTGTGTCCTGGTAGGCTTGCCTGATGTCTCTCAGCGTTTCCATGGCGTTTTGGAAACAGAGGGGGATTCCCTTATCTGCTTCAAACACACACACACACACACACACACACACACACATACATGCACAGTTACACCCACCAATCCTACATCCACTGTTACACACAAATGTAAAACTCAGTTACATATACCAGATTTATCGACTCAAAGAAGCCACTTATTGTTGTCTACATTAAAACAAATCTGTTTAGAAAAGTCTATCACCATTACTACAAACAAAATCACCACAAAACCTAAATAGCAACAAAATAAACTTGATTTCACATTGCATTTCCTTAACAGTTCAGTGTTTTTGAAGCAGCTTTACGGGCTGGAGAATTCAGAAATGCTACAGAACAATGTTACTCTCATGTTCAGGAAGTTCAGGTAGCACCTTAACAGTTGACAGGATACCAATTTTGTGTATTTCTACATTTCAAAACCACATCATAACACTAGACTGTACCTTGATAACCACACTCCTGCTGCTGCCCATACAAAGTATACAATAATAATATTCATATACAACATTGATGCTCACCATAGAGAAAACAACAGTTGTTACCTGTTTCTGAGCTTGTTGGTCCACTCTGCTCCCATATCGAGACCACATTTAAGGATTGAATCAGATAGCTCCACTGTCTGTTTACCCAATTATTACACCTTTATTCTGTTTTTCCTGTCTGTATTCTCAACATGTCCATCATCCCTGTAACACACACTTGTAGTGATCTGATCTACCCTCTCTATGTCTCAGCCATGCTGTTGTGGCTGAGGTTCATGACGGGCAAGCAGGTTTCTCAGCTGAGAGGTCGTATTGTGTGAGAGACCCCTCCCACCCAGTCACGCCTCCCTCCTTTTAGGAGGTGATTTGATCTGATGGCCTATTTGGGAGCTGACCATTTCACTGTAAAAGGCCAAAATTGGTTCAAAATGTTGACCTTTTTAGCATCCAGGGCACCCATGCCACATATTTTTCTCTTCAGCCCACTGAGAAAAAAGAAAAATCTCACTCTAATTTCATACATCAATAGTCTACACCTAAGCCCACTAAAACCACTTAAACTCCAGGAGTCCTTGAAAAGAGTCCTTACCTTGGCTGAGGTCTTTATGATTCTCAGATAGAGGGGGGTACCCTGGAGACTCCAGCACTTCCTGGAAAGGACAAAAGTGACCAATTCTTTTATTATATGTCCCAGTCAAAAACAGAGGCTGATAGATGTCATGCAGAACCAATGTTAGCTCAGATGGACCTCAGTGGCCAGTAATGAATGAATGAATAAATTCATGAAACAAAAAGGACAAAACTGCTTTTTCCAAATAAATAAGTTAGACTAAATAATGCCATTAGTTCATCATGTATTCGATATTCTTAAAGCTTGTCCAGAGTATAGAGGAAGGAGAGATTACAAAAACCTCAATACTGCTACCAAACCACATCTGATTTTACAGTTGTTGGATTTCAATGATACTGTTACCAACGTATGATCGAGCTTTTGCAGAGGCAAATCTTTAGATTTAGATATAGCTCTTTTGGTGGTTTGGAAGTCAACTTAAACATTACAATTTTAATGTTTTTTTAAATTTATTTTAAGTAAACTCTTGATATAAAGTTTATTTTTAGTTATTTTAACACTACACATGCACACATACATTACAGTTGAGTTTGTCAGTGGGCCTCTGAGAGCCGTATACTGTGGCTTCTCCCCGTAAACCACCTGCTCTTCTGTCTCAGCTAACCAGCTGCCCTGCTCTGCTCCATCTACAAGGACACTCGTAATACGGTAGGATGGCAGCTAAGTGTCAGCCACCCAGAGCACCCCTCCTCCACACACACGCCTATCTAAACAAACAATTACTGCTTCCACATATTTGTCTTCTGGGTGACTATTACTGCCAGTCTGCCTGTGTGTCTTGTGGCTACTTGAGAGTAACAGTCCCTCTGCTCTCAGACACACATGTAGATCATCATTAAGGTAGACCATAGGGCTGTTGTTGCTGTCATGTTAGTCTTCCTAAAATATGGACAATTCAATCAATCAATTACTGAATACAAGCAGCCTCTCTCCCAAAGCTCTGAAAAATAATGACAAAAGCCTTGACATCTGGATGCAGAAGGGACATTTTTAAAGCATTTTCTCCAATAATGTCTTGCTATTTATCACTTACCCCTGTGTGGCTGTATAGTAGAAAGTGGTGTTGCTGGGTTGGTGTCTGTGTGGGGGAGGCAGCTGTCGACTGATTAGGATAAAGGGTCTCAAGGTCCAGCTCTACGTCCGAATCTCCAAACTCTGAATCCAAATCCTGGCATGAGTATTTGTCGAGGGCTAGGAGGGACATGGGGGCAGCATCTGCGCAAAATCAGAAATAATTCTAAAACTTGCCTATATTGACACATAAAGAAGTGAAGAAACAGCTGTTTCTTCAGGTTACAACCAGAGCAGGTCAGGAATTTAGAAACCTCCAAATCCGAGTTTGGTGTCCACACCTGTGGACTTTGTTCTATTTACACAAGGTGAGGATTTAGAAGTGTTCTAAAAGCCTGAAAACAGCATTTACCATAATGTTTCACCCTTCACTGCGTTTTTTTCTGCCCTCTTTCTCCTGTGTCACCTTGTTTCTGTGTCGCCATCCCTGATACAAACTGAGTCACACACTCTCATGAGGGCTCTTTGCAGCGTGGTTGCTCACACATACACAAACAAGCCTTTCTTATACCCTCCCACATAAGTGCAGGCTTTGAGTGCAACTGCAGAGGTTTTACTCTGAAAAACAGGATTATGAATAAACTTGGTATGTTGTTTGTGTGTGTACCTGTGTGTGTGAAAGAGAAAAAAGTGTGTTTGCTTACACAAAGTCATGAATGGGAAGCTATATTTAGATGTGTGGCTACGTGTGCATATATGCTACATACTTTGTATTTAACACCCAGTTTAATAAGAAACTGATCACTGATAATATAAGTATGGAGTAAATGGGCAAATGTGAGCACAAGCACTTATTTGAAGTCAACATTTGTTAATTTAATTTATTATAATAAATAATTACCAGAGAGGCAAATGTATTTGTTGCTTAAGGCCGCATATTGCTAGCTATTAATTATGTTATACAAAAGTATTACATTCTGTTTCTCTGCTTTCAACATATGGTATTTATGATATTTCAGGTCATATTTGCATGAGATTTTGTATGGAACATACAAAAGAGAGCACTGTAGTGCTTGGAAAACTGTGCTATAGTGCAACAATAATGTGCAGGATCCTTTTCATCAAAAACTTCTATAATTCTAATCAGATTATTAGTATTTTCTTGGAAGAAACATGAGAATTTACAAATAACTGGATAATCCTTAATTTCCCAAAGCAGATCACATGAACAGCTGGAAGTAAGATTATAATGTTCCCACAATTTTAAAGCAGCATTCGTAGATTTATTTCATTTTAGCCTCTTGGGGCTTTAGAACAAAGCACCACATTTGCCAGCAAACAGTTACCTACTGACTTTGTGTCTTCCTTACTTTTGGTCACCAGACAAATGTATTCACTCTTCTTTTAGCTTTGTTTTGGTCTCCACCCAACTCCTGAGAGAAGTATTTGGATATTTAGCTTCTAAATGTTCCACTATGTTCACTTGTTAGTTACTGGTCATGTGCAGTCAGTTTATCAGAGACTTTTCACTGAAACAGCTGCCTGCTGCAGTTTCCAGAAGAAAGTTTCCACTGCCTGTAAAACCAAAACAATGAGCTGAAAGATGCTACAAGGCTCTGTAGAGCTGAGGGTAACTGTTAAGTTGGGTGATAATTCTCTGTGTGATTGTCACTATGAGACAATCACATTATATAAAGTAATTTCCTCCAGTGTTTAAAGATACATCATTTAGCTTTAAACTGTGAGTAACAAAGACTAACTCATGTTGACTGATATATGCTTCTTTGGTCCGGGTGTGACTGAAGTGTCAGAAATTCAGTGTTAGGGTCATGTTGGTAAGTGTATATGGTACCTGTGTGACTTAGGGCCTCGACCAGCATGTGAATGATCTCCTCCTTCAGAGGGCTGTTGATGTTTGCAGCGTAGTGGGGAGCAGAGCAGCCGCTGTGGTCTCGTACCCGCAGATCACTGATAGAGAAGTTTAAAGACGGGATGGAAAATGGGACTTATTCTATGTAGACATTATTTCTGCCTCCCAAATTTCATTTGGTTTTGTAATGTTACTTGATGCCAACCTCAAATCTTGTTGGAGCACAAAGCAGAATATAGAGTATTTTAATTCAAGATGCAACCTCCTCTGAAAAAGACAACATAAATAGACAGCTAGCATCTGCAGGAGGTGTGACTCTTAAGAATATATATATAAAATATAGCCTATACAGTATATCAATGCGTGTATGAATGTGTATGTTTCTTACACCGAGAGTCCCAGCAGTTCCTTGACCACCTCCACAGGTCTATATTCCCATGGCAACAGTGTCACTATGCCCTCAAACAGGTCAATGTCCCTAACAGCAAGCATCACAGCTGTCACGCCGTCGCTGTTAGGCACGTTCACATCCACCCCGTCTGTCTGAGCCTGATACACGCCGACAGACACAAACACACACGTAACAAACATGAATAATACATCACACACTAGCTTGGAGTAACGTATAAAGTGTTAAGGTCCCAGACAGGGGAGCATATAGCACACATATACATAGACAACTCGCCTTTAATTCCCCCCAGCATTATGTATAGCTATGCTTTAGTTTGTTGTCTATTTAAATGTGGAAGTTAAAATGTTAACTTAATGTCATAACTGTGAACACACACACACACACACACCCAAATCCTGATTTGTTCCAGAAATACATGACATCACCTTTCTCCACTTCCAACAAGTGAAACAAGTGCAGAGAAAAGCAGTTTTAAACACCCAAAGAAATGCATGTGCAACAGCAGTAAATACATTTGGTGGCCATAAACAGAAAACACACAGTCCCACACACTATTCACATAGTGCCTGCCATTTAGATTAAACTCATTGTTTAAATGAAAAGCACCTGATGAAATGTCTCACATTTCCAGTTACACAAAGTCACACAAGGACATCATGAGACTGGCAGGCCTGTTTGTTGTCCTGAACTGAATAAGACTCAGGAATGCGTTTTCATTTTCAAATGTGTCAAGAAACGCCTCGTGAAGTCTGTGAGTTGTTGATGTTATTGTGTTTTTTTATTCTTAAATTTTTTTTATTAAATCCTCAAAACTTTTTCTTCTTTAGAGGTTTATATATACTGTCAGTCAGGAATCCATGCCAGAAATCAGTTTTAGTACAACCGAACCTTTGCTTGGCAGGTTTACAAACAATTACCCAACAAACATTGAATGTTTTTGTAACAGGAAATCTTTGTTGTCTTTGCTCATTAGGGAAATCCTCTACCAGATAATCTGTATCTGTGGGGGAGTCTTACCAGCAGGTTCTGTAGGGAGTGCAGGTCTCCCTGCCAGGCAGCCTGCAGCAGCTGTGCCTGGGGAGGCAGATGAGGCCTCAACATCCACCCCAACACTTTCCCCTGGAGCTCAGGAGGGCTTGTGTGGAGCGCTGTCTGCTGACTGTAGTTGCACAGGGTCATATCAGCCCCGCCCCTCAGCAGCCGCTGTACTACCTGTTAACAACACCAGCAGGTAAAACAGTAAATTAGGAAAGTTAGTAGACTTTTGTCAGATTGGCTTGATAGATTAAAATAGTTTTAATTTTTTACAATTCTGTGAAGTTACATAAATTCTCTTCATTCATAAATGTGTAAATTCTGTCAATAAAACACGTTGGTGCTCATTTTTACCTCATCTATTCCATTATTTCTGAAATACCTTGGGAATGTGCAGGTTTTTGCACACTTTTCATACCAAAGTGTTGCTAAATATCAGCCGTGATTTAATGCCCCCTGTGGAGTGAGACTAATCTCACTCCACAGGGGACAACAGGAGGGGGGGGATCACGGTGTTTACCGGTAAGTCATATGTTTGTTTTGAACACAACCTCCCCGAGAGGATGCAGAGGAGTTACGTAAGGAGCAAGAATCGGGTCACGTGGGTCTCTCATGCACATATACAGGTAGTATTGTTATTGATAGGAAAAATACAACCGGTCGTGCAGGAGGACCTCTGACAAACATGTTCACCTGTAGGAATTTTCCAATGAACACTAGATATTTTTCCCAGCAGCTGTTTTGACATGAAATAGTAGGGTAAACACAGCTTTTACTAACAATGCTAATTAATGTTCCTTTCCATTCGGGTCAAACAGAGTGAGGGTGCTGCTGTTGTGCATGTTGACTCTCTGGAAAGGCTCTGCTACACTAAATGGAATGGAACCTTCATTATATAAACACCTGTGTTTACCCTACAATTTAATGCCAAAATAGCTGCTGTGAAAAAGGTCCAATTTGCTACGTAGTATAACAGATTATAATCCATGATTATACAACAACAGATGCCAAACTCTCTGTCTCACATACATATACATAACATACCTCAGTCATGCCTTTATGACAGGCAGTGATGAGGGGAGTGGATCCCTCCTCATCTTCAGTGTCGGAGACCTGCAGCTCCTCCTGGCCCTCTACCTCTTGTCTGAGGCTCTCAACCAGGACATTTTCCTCCTCCTCTTCCTCCTCTCTTTTCAGCATCTCATCAACACTCCTTCTCTCCCACGTCTCACTTCTCTCCATAGTTCACAGGTTCCCAGTTAGATCTGTGTGAAGTGCAGCCAGACAGAAGAGCAGAGTCTGAGCAGGAGGTCAGATAAGACTTGAGCAATTTTTGTTATGACGGAAAAAGACCAATGAGAAGACAAAATGACAAATAATTGTAAACACTGCACTGAAATATCTGATTTAGCTCTTCCAGCTCGGTGTCTTAGTTAGTCTGTGTGTTTGTGAGATCATTGCTGTGATGTTAGCCCTGTGATGTAGTCTCTAATGATCCATTGGTCCCAGCAGAGACAGTGCAGAGGAGTTATTCTCTCACATAATTACTGCTGATGAATCACCATAATTTACATCATTATCCATTAAATTAGCTTTTCTACCAATGACTGGGTACATGTGTTCATGTACATGTGCAGGAGTCCGCCTACCTGTGTGTGTGCCCACTAGACATGACTCTTAAAGGGCTGAACGCCCTCTGGTTTAATGTTTGACAACACTAACAGAGCAGCAGTCAAGATGGCTGAAGTGTCAAATAAATAAACACGTAAAAAAGTTATGAAAGAACTTTTTTGATTTTTCATATTTGTCTGTGTTGCTCCTCACTGCCTATCAGAAGCATAAAATTTAGACTAACAACAATGAAATACAGTGTTTCAATGAACTATCTTTACTTACTGTAATGATGTCATTTCTTCACATTCCCTTATGAATTAATCCAGCCATGTGCTTTATCCAACCTTCTGTGGACATTTGACAAGCAAACCTTTGGTTCTTTTCAACAGACTCTCCGCTCTAGTGTTTCCTCTCCTTTCTTCTTTCCCCCCGCATGCCTCCTGCTGTTGGTTTACACTTGGTTGCCTTGGAGATGGTCAGACAGACAGACAGACAGACAGACAGACAGGAAAGCAGTGGGTTTTAATGCCTGTTGTCTGATACGTTGAGAGAGAGAGAGTAATGTGAGAAGTACAATTTTGAGATACTTGTGCTTTACTTAAGTATTTCAATTTTCTGCTTCTTTATACTTCTATTCCTCTACATTTCAAAAGGAAATATATTTTACTCCATTTTTTAAAAACTTTACTTTGCAGATTCCGATTATACAAACTATAATAATAAGTAAAAAAAAGAATGATAAAGTATAGCGGCTGCAACATTAAATGAACACATTCATGCATTAATAACTACTATCAAACCATACAATATAGATTATTCTGAAACTGGCCATTCTGCATATCGAGTACTAAAACTAAAAAAATGTTGAATACATGACATTACTGATATTTACTTGCCAGTACTTCTTCAACCACTGCTTGTTTTCATACTCATACTGATATGAGACCTTCACTAATATTATATTATATTATACTTACCTTCAGATGGTCACAGGTCCTCATGATGCAGTTTAAAGGACAACTCCACACTAGAACTTGCATTGACAAAAAACGCTGCTGTACTGACCCCTTGGGGTTAAAAGATGTAAGTCTGTTGAACTTCAGACACCTATGAAGCAGGGATGGGTCTACAGGGAAATATATGCTAATTTAATCAATCAAATATATCAATATTTGCTTGGAACCTCAAATGAAGATATTTTAACTAAGAAACATTATTGTGGCACATGAGTAAAACATTGAGCAGAAATATCTAAAGGTGGCATCAGAAATCAATAAATAAATTATAAATAATTAATTGTTTTATTTATTATAGGCACATGCTGATATGAGTTGTCCTCAGCTTCTTGCAGTTTCAGATTTTTACGTTTAAAACATTATCTGTTGCCCTCTTTGTGAAGCCAACCATTGGTGGTTTTGTTGCCTCTGTGTCATCCTGATTGACCTTATCCTCAGATCCTGACTCTCTGTCGGTGGGACATGATTTATCAGTCGGAGTTTTCCATGCTGTCATTTCATTTTCTGAGGTTTTGTTGTCTGGGAGCTTCTGTGGTTGCTCTCATGTAACATCACAAAGCCCCACAAAGGTAGGCCTATTTGGCACAACATAAAACAGCACAGGTGTAGCTAAAACTACATACCCTACCAACCCACGTAGATGAGTCATCTTCATACAAATGAATGTGCCTTTTCACACTGGGTTCAAAGTGAACTGCAGCAAAATAGAGACACTCTTTATACACTTCAAATGGCGCCAACAAGCTCTATATTTCCAGCTTGATTAATCCTGCAAATGAAATGTGACAAAAACTCGAGGGGACTACACAGAGAATTGTGTTTTTATTGTAATGGAAAAACAATATCCATGTATTTAACCCTATGAGCATTAAACTGCTTGCTCTTGTTGAATGGTATGTTTCTGTATATTAATTATCGTATCACATTTTCACATTCATTTCCTCTGTGTGTGAGAGTCAAATTGGTTGTCAAAAACAGTTAGGCACATTAATATGTCTCTACTTTCTGGACCTGTCTTGATGATTCCTTTAATGATCCACAAAAACAGAGGCAAAGTTTGCCAGTTTGACGTTTGCTTTTAAGTGTTTTGGGGGAAATTTGTATTAAATGATGATGAAAACATCTACAATATTTCCATTTAATTGAAACATGGAGTGGGGTTTGAATGTTTCATGCAGAGTAAACTCTTAGAGGTAAATGATAGCTTGTAACAGAAAAAAGTACGTTTTCTATCATGAAATCAACCTAGAAACTGGATTTTTGGGTTAACAGTGGACTCAAAAGGAAACAGCACAGTATATTGAGTGAGGCAGATCCAAATATAAACTGCTGGTTTGCTGCAGTAGTAGTAGTATTCCACTGATGTTTTTTTCCCCTCTCATAATTAACTGTATTGAACTGTGAACAAGAAACACCTTTACCTTTTAAGAAAGCGCATGTCATGATCAAAAACACACATATTTGATCTCTCCTGTATCACTACATTAAAAAGAAGGAAAATTAGGCTGAGAAATTGTCTAAACCGTAAATATAATTGAACAATTAGACAAAGTTATTTGATCCTTATCATATATGCGGATGTAAATGAAATTAAAGAGAAAAAATATAAAACATGAACAAGGCTACATCAGCCCACACACTGAACAATTAGGGCTCCTGTAAATTGAGGTCCACTTGCGCTGTAACACCCAGGAGGACCACAAGATAGCGGTGTCGGGCAACTGTGGACCCCTCCAATCCAAACTTCAACTGTCTTCACATGCGTACCACAGGTGGAATATTCTACTTTTCACTTTTGGTGCACATTGCGCTCTTCACCCATTAAATCATGTGGCTTCAGGAAATAACGTTTAGAAGTTGTTTGTGGAGAAGTTTGACCCACATTTTTTTCTTTCAGGTAAAATGACTCCATTCACACTGTTTTTTTTTATTTTTTTTATCTCCTATGGTGACACTAGGATATCTAAAAGTCTGTGCTTCTCTCTCGGTAATAATGTTATACCTGTATTCTGTTTCAAATGGTATCACAGCATTTTCCAGAAATACATTTAGTTTAGGCTATTCAATTACTTTTGTTTATTAATTTATGAGGTGTTTTGTCATAGGCTGCTTTGTGTCCGATTAACCAATGGAAAAGTACCATAAGGAGTCCCGTGCCTCCTCCCTCATCCAAACCACCCTGATTCCCCTCCGTGCGCAGTAATTGCTGTTTGGGTCTATCCCGTGTCACCCGCAGCCGTGTCCTCCCCGAGAGAAGCAGTGAACCCTAGTTGACTCAGTCTCTCAGCTCCACCGGTCCCAGGCTGGTGCGTCCCGTTGCGCACAGCTCAGCACAGTTTCCCAGCACTGCACACTTCACAGGCGCTCTCCGGATTCCCCAAAACACCTCAGGACTGCTCGTGGGAAAGATTGCTACAACTTTACGTGTCAGTATGTTTCATGTCTGGATGACAGAGGATCGGTGACAAGAAGACTCGGGGGAGTTCAGGTACAGCAGGAAGAAGGACGAGTCTTGGCTCCCCCCCCACCCCACCCCACCCCATCCTACCCGAGCACTTTGCGCAAGGTGAAATAGCAGAGGCTTCTGTTGTGGTTGATTGATCGGACGCCTGCATTACATGGATTTCTTCCCCAGCTCTCACTTGTGATGTTACCTATTACTCTCTGAGCTCTTGTTAGTTGCTCTCCGCTTCACTTCCCTCCCAAACTTCAGTCAGTGGATCATTTTCAGAGCGACAGGATGGGATCGCAGACCGGGGCAGCTCTGCAGAAACATTCGCTCCTGTGGTTCATTGTAGGTGAGTCTTTCACAATGTGGCTGCTTTGGTGTGTGTAATGAAGACAGAGGAAGGTGGTTAAGCCAAACTATGACTTCTGTTTGGAAAATACCAGAAGACAAAATCTTGAAGAAGACGTGAAGAAATAGGTTCCTCATACTCATAATCAATTTGAAACAAATGGGTTTGGAGTACTTATTATGTTTATGGGGGCTGAATAAACGAGTTCAATCACTCTCTTCACACCCAGAGACAAGAATGGGAGTTTTATGTTCCATACAACTTTAAAAAATGCAGTGTTGTTCCAGGAGCTGGTGTGTTTGTGGTACTCAATAATCATATTAAAATGACCTTCAATAATTGTTTCTGCTGTGTAGACCAGTGGTTCTCAAACTGGGGTTCTTAGGAAGGTTCAGAGGAATATTTTAATTTCATTTTTAGCCCAATGAGAGAATGTATATGAATGACTATTCTGTTAATAGATTTCCCGCTTTTCACTGTTAATCTGCCACTCTAAAATATAGACAGTTATGCAATAATTAAATCTTATCTGTCTGGGATCCCTGAGACTACATCTTATCAAATACAGGTCAGTGGCCTGATGTGTATCGATTTGAGGGTCCTTGGCACCTGAAAGGTTCAGAACCACTGGTGTAGACTACAAAATCCTTTTTTATATCTCACTTTATCATTATATTAATCACTTAACCTGTGGGTTTGTTATGATATGGTGACAGATTTATAATAGAATTAGTACCTGTCACCCTATGTGGTGAAGTGTAAACAGCATAATCTTTATTTAAAGTGGAGCATAGCAGTGCATCTGCGAAGTGGCTACAGTCAGGGAATAGTGTGAGGGAGATCACATATGAGCACACTTACAATTACAATACAATTTATAATGATATCAAGAGGAAGCTTAATCTCTGTACTGTAACCCAGACAGGGATTTGTACAGCTGTGTATTGCTGAGTGGATCCGTTGTTTAAAATATATGTGGTAACTTTGTGTATCAATGGACCTTCTCTATGGTTTTGAGTATTAAAACAAAACAGTTTTTCTCTGAGTTTTTATTTCTCTAGTATTGGAATGTGAAGACAAACCATCTAATTTGCAAATGACTGAATTTATTCGCCCACTCACTACATCGCTAACCCTATAAGTCAACTTTAATTATAATGATTGCTGTTTGTTCGCAGGTAGAAAGTCTGTCTTAACTACCCTGTTCACTTGTATTTTTTATTTATTTATTTTGGCTTACTGCCACATTTTCACATGTAGGAAGATGAAAAAAGGCTCAAACTAGGGGTGAACTTCTTTTTCCATATGGAATACATTTTGGTGGCTGTACAAAAATTCAAATCTGCTTAAAAATGCATACGTCACCTTAAAGTTGTATGTCTCTTCAGTGAGCAGAACAAATAGGGATGCTGAAAACAAAACATTAGATAGGAAGATAACATTACACCTCTAATTCTTGCTGGAGAGTGCTCTCTCAGCTAGATAACCAGATCCTGCAGTATTCAGTAAGTTAATCAGTTCAATTGGTGGGTGTAGGCTCCTCTAAATGTTAGATTAGCTTATTGGAGTGGCTGTAATTTCTTTTTCCAACATTTGTGTAGTATTATCAGGTCATTGCAATCATGCTTACTAGGCCTATGAAGACGCTGAATTTATTGATTCTAGTTGAGATATAGTGCATGTTTACTCCGTTGTGAAGGTGAAAAAATTAGAAGATTCTGTCATTCACTAGGACAAAACAACAGTAAATAATAATAATTAAAATGAATATATTCGTTTGATGTTTTCAACACCCACTTGTTGGTTGGGGATGTGTTATGCAAGAGAGCCCCGTCTTAAATCCTACAAGAACAGAACGATTTGAGGAAAATATCTTGTTTTTTCTGACTTGAATTACTGTAAACGGGATACATTTTGCGGTGGCCCAAGGCACAACATCTGAGCTTCACGTCTGGCTTAAGTCATCCCTCCTCTCCATCCTGTCATCTCTCTATAGTGATGTGTAAGAAAGGCATTAAAAACCCTAAGGGTCTAGGTAGTAACGTTTAGGAGGAGCTACTGGCAGAAATGGAATATAATATGCATAACTATGTTTTCATTTCAATCACCTGAAAATCATTATGTTTTTGTATCTTGGTATGAGCCTTTTTTGTCTACACACGCTGCGGGTCGCCTTCCATGGAGTCCACCATGTTGAACCGGCATATTTCTAGCCCAGAATGAACAAACCAAACACTAGCTGTACATAGTGCCATTTACGCTTCTCGTGGCCAGCGTTGTTTGCTTGGAAGGGGAGGGTAAAGAAAGTAATTTACAATCTGCAACTACACTGCTAGATGCCACTAAATCCTACACACTGGTCATTTAAAACTAATACTATTGTGCTTTTTTCAAAAAATCAGTTGCTCAAATTAAAAATAATCTTTTCTAGTCTGTGCAAAATTATACCTATTTAGCTTACATTCAGGATTTTATATTAGTAGAATAACTACTAACAATCAGAAGTGGTGTTATTGACCATAGCTGTAATAATGACAAACAGCCATAAAGTCACGTCTGACAACCTTGATACTCGGGGAACTAGCATTAACTTCACTTCTTGGAGGTCTTATTTCAGGGCTTTTAAGTTGATCAGCTTCAAACAATGATGTGTTCAGCCAGCAGTCTGTCACTCATTCAGACACGGAGTGCTGCTTCTCTCTTGAGGAAACAATCGTGAGTCAAGTTTAAACTGTACAGAGCATTTTAGCAAGACAATGGCCAAGACTTTCATTTTGTAGTCTGGTCAAAATTACTTGAAGACATATTAACATAGCTGCACATCACAGATTTTATACAAAAATCAGTTAGATTAATTGTCCAATTTACAGACTGAAGTCACTGACTGAATCAGTAGCTTTTAGCAGGGGGGCTGGTTGGGCTCCCCTCAGTGCCTGCTGTCAGCTCAGCTGTAATACATAGTGTGCTACTTTCTCTTATTAAAAGACTGTAAAAGCCACAGTAACAATCATGATGTCATAACTGTCACAATTAGGTGACTGCTGAGCTGTAAACCTTACTGTATGAACAGTGTCTGTGTGGGCCTTGTTTTGTACTGAACAGAACAACCCGGCAATGGTCCAGCGTGGTTAAATAATCTCTTGTTGATCACATTTATTCATTTGATAAGCAGTGCTGGGTTATTATTTTGTGTCAGCATAAAGGTGTGTCTTTCAAACGAAGGGAAATGTCACACTGTTGTGTGTTTTTAAACTAGGAAAACTGCTGTATTTGCCCAATGCACCACATTTCTGTCAAGCAGTTAACATCCCTCGGTTAAATTTAGAAGAAATGCAGTGTTATTAAAATGTGTTTTGCAGTAACTGCAGTATATGTGAAGTATGTTTGAATTAAGAAGATTAAAGCTGCATTTCTTATGTGATGTGCACTATTTTGACACATTTTATGTTAATCTTAGCTAAAGGGAGAATACATATTTTATTTTTAACTTAAATATGCTTGCCTGTAGCACTTTATTATCGACTAATCATTACGTTAAGTTGAAATGGCTAAAAAGTGGTAATACATGATTGTGTATAAATAGCCACGTGAATTCATTGTGATTTATAATACAAGATCTAAATATAGTTGTGGTTGAATATTTTTGGAAGATTATAAAGCTATAGTAATTTTGTTTTTAGTTTTTCTTTTTATCTCTTACAGTGTGATCACGGCATGTATATGGAGTTTCTCTCACGTGATCTGTTACTTCCACGTCTAGTACACTGGATCCACTAATTATGTAGATTTAATGAGAGTTTGACAAAGTGCTGGACGTGGACTTTCTGAAATGATTCAATTTCCTTCATAATGCATTGCCATCATTACAAAAGTATGATAAGACCGATCAGCTGATAAAGCCGTGTAATGCTGGAACATCTCCAGTCTCATCTGCCTCCTTTCCTGTCTCTTTCTCTGCTGAATACACATATATTTACAGCATTTGTAATTTTAGACACATGAAGACTTTCAGCGGAGTTGGGTTCATTCCCCAACCTCTAACACTAAGGCCAACCACTAAATGCTTTACCCTCAGCTGAACTGTAATGTGAATCCCATCCCCTAACCCCAAACTAAGCATTTAACATTGCGGAGTCCAATAAAAATGTACTCAGTGTCCTCATTTTTGTTGTTTTGTAGTTCTAGACGTCTCAGTGTTTATGAAAAAAGAAAAGTGAACACACCTCTTCACAGTTTAAATGCATACTGGAAATACACCAAACTGCTGTATTCATGAATTCAAAGGTGTTCAAGCAAGGTTCCTCTGCTCTTTGCTTCTTGTAGGGGTTATTTTTACAGAAAGAGAAAGCTATGACTCATCACAGCAGCACCAGGCTGTCTCATTACTGTTTCACCCCCCATTTAAAACATAAGTTTTGCTGTGAACATTTTTATTTTACATCCCAAGATTACTTAACAATTATCCCAATTCAGGCAGTTCATTTATACGTCTAGGATGCTTTTATTCTGTCAGTCTTACAGGCACTTTTAAAGACTAACAGTGTACTTTAATCAATAGAGCACAGAGTTGATACAAATCAAAAGAACATCTACCACTGAAGTCATCAGCATCATTTGTGTCCTGACAGAAGCAGTTTGTTTTCTGGTACTTTTTGGGCCAATGAGTACAGAATGGATAAAGGGAAAGGAGTCTTCACTCTTTCTCATAGATATGAAGGGATTGGCACAGAGAGACACTTTAATCCTCTTTCCCTGACACGATCGTCTTTCATCTAACGGCTCAGGATTCAATTTGAATTCATTTGGAATATTTCACACACACAAGCGACTCACTAGACGGTAGTGAAATGACAAAAGGGTAATACTTTGAGGAACATCTCAAGAGAAAACATCTGGCAATTCTGACAGTTTGACTGGAATGACTGAATATCCTGTAAGCAATCAAAATGGCTGAAGCAGAGTACTCCAACAAAAGTGTGAGGCTCAGTGGGTCATGAGAC